CTAAGTTAGCATACCTTGGCACCTTAGTACATTTCTAGTCCAGAATATTCTCTGTTTATCAGGCTGATAACAAGTCTCCATGAATACATACAAGACTTTTTCACTAGAGTCCAAACTGTTTCTCCGAGACAGAATGTTACTAAATCACACAGATCAAAGATTAAACTTGGAGAAGAATGCCAAAGAAATTCTATAATTAATACATAAATCTGATTTGTCATGTCTCCCTTCACCTTGATTAAATTCAATACAATTACCACCTAATCTGGTTCAGGGATTCTATTGCACCAAGAAAATGAAGGGCAGTAGCCAGAAGTATGTGTGTGCAAGGGGGAACCCAGATCTATACAAGGAAAACTTCAGCCACAACTGGATTGCACTTTACTTCTATAATCTTGAAATATTTCAATTTGGTAAAAATATAAAGGGTACAATAAATTCTGTGCTTTGAGAAGTTGTGAGAGCACCACTTTCTAGAAGGAAAATAAATACATACACACACACACAGACTACAACCTGGCTAAAATAAACGATAAAATGACTAACTTACAGATTTTTATAATTAATAAATAAAAATTTGCTAGGGCTGACTAGTTCACTGGTTTCAAAATTGGATACAGAAAAAAATACCATAAGCTTCTGTGCCAAAATACAAATCTCTATTTTTTTCTTATTCATTATTAAACATTTTCTTCTTTATTATAGAACAATTTCTTGTTCATTACAGGAAGCAGTCTGAGCTTTCAGGAAAGAAGACTGGGTTGAGATTAGGAGAAGAGAGTTTTAGTTCCAGCTTCCATCACTGTGAATAGCTTTTTGAGATTCAGCTTTCTTTTCTATCAATTAGGGAAGATGGTTGCTTCACCAACTTCAGAAATGTACAGATAATAAAAGAGAAAATTCTACTGTGCTTCATTTTGTTTTGTATATAACTGACTTCTTGCAATCTTATCCTTTTTATTTTGTTTACAGTGATTCTTAAGGAAGATGAGAGACTGTATCAGAATCTCCAGGGAAAATTTGTGCAATTGGAAAACAAAGGAGTACTCTTTCCCATTGTTTTGCTCCATTTTTAGTTCTAATATTTAAATGTTTATGAATTCTAAACTTGGATAAAGCTTAAAATTTCTATATTTATAAAGGGAGGATTAGTATGCAGTTTAAAAAGCAAGATACTCTACTACTGTCACCTCCAGCACATTGATTGTCCTTTTACATTTCTCCTTTCTTGATTAAACTAATTCCTTAAAATGCAGAAGCTGGGTGAAGGATAAAACTTTCATGACAAAAAGTAAAGAAATGAAGAAACACAAAGTGTTTGTGCAAATATGACCTTTCTAATGAACTCTAACCTGACGACTCTTCTCTCTTTCTTTTTTTCCTTGGGACAAGGTCTTACTATGTTGCCCTGTCTGGCCTTAAATTCTAGGCTTAAGTGATCTTCCTGTCACATGATGGCTAGGAAGATAGGGCAATGCATTTAACTTCATCGCTCTTTTATTTATTTATTTTTGAGACTGAGTCTCACTTCACCCTGATAAAGTGCCGTAGCATCACAGCTCACAGCAACCTCCAACTCTTGGGGTTAATCAATTCTCTTGCCTCACCCTCCCAAGTAGCTGGGTGCCTCCCACAACGCCCAGCTATTTTTTAGTTGTCGTTGTCATTGTTGTGTGGCAGGCCCAGGCTGGGTTTGAACCCACCAGCTCCAGTGTATGTGGCTGGTGCCATAGCCACTGAGCTACAGGCAACGAGCCTTGATCACTCTTTTAAACATTGTTCTTCTCTAAAACAAACAAAACAAAACCCCTAAAAGATATCCCTTACCATACTCTATATTTTTTCCATCCTACTAATCTTTTCTAACATAAATTTAATTACTTATATTTATAGCCTTATTCTTCCTACTATAATGTAAACCTCACAGTCACAAGGACTTTTAAATCTCCTTCATTTGCATCAACAGTGCCGAGAAGAAAACCTAGGCTATAGTGGTTATTCAATACACATTTAGTTGAAGACATAAATGAAATAATAGTTTAGAAATTTCTAGCAGTTTTCCTCTCTTTGAAGATTCAAGATCACTTCAGTCCACTAAGAAATTATACTACTCTCCTAGTTGTGATTTCTAAGACCTCTAGTTCTTAAACATATTTTTAATCATAAAATCTCTAATTTCATCAGGTGAGTCTTTCTCTGAACTAGTTAAACTAATTTTGTTTTGTTTTTGAGACAGAGTCTTACTTTGTTGCCCTGGGTAGAGTGCTGTGGCATCATACTCACAGCAACCTCAAACTCTTGGACTCAAGTGATTCCCTTGCCTCAGCCTCCCAAGTAGCTGGGACTACAGGCGCCCACTACAATGCATGGCCATTTTTTAGAGATAGGGTCTTGCTCTTGCTCAGGCTGGTCTTGAACTCTGAGCTCAGGCAATCCACCATCCTCAGCCTCTCAAAGTGCCAGGATTACAGGCATGAGCCACTGCGCCTGGCCTTGAACTAGTTTTTAAAACAGTTCAGTGGGTTCTAAATATTTTCTTGAACAAAATCTAGGTAAATATGATTTAGAAAAGAAAATATTGTGGGCCTTAAAAACAAGGTAACTATTACAGTTTTCCTCGTAGCATGGGTAGAGAAATTAACATTTTTGGAAACAAGAGTCCAACTTATAGAACCACAGAATTGGAAAGGACCTTGGGCCAATCCATTCATTTTATAGTAAGGGCACTAACAAGCAGAGACATGAAGATACTTGTCCAAGAGCATAATACTGGATAGCAGGAAAGTCAGGGCTAGAACTCAGGTCTCCTAGTTCTCAGACCAGTTTCTTTATGCTTAACAGGTAATAATAAAGCTCAAGACAATAAATGTTATTTTAAACATTAAAGAGGAAAATATGTTGGTGGGAGCATAACTGGCACAGGTCTTCAGGGGAACTGAAACAAGAGGTCAGATAACTAAAGATAAGCTATTGCTGTAGTTCAGATGAACATTGTTATGGAAGGAAAGCTATGGAGTTTATTATACTGAAAAAAGGAATGCAGTCTTTATCTGAAAATGAAAGCAACCTACTAGCAAAGGAATTATTTGAAAAAACAAACAAAAATAATTTTTAAAAGTAAGTAAAACACCCCAAAGTCACTAAATCCGAGAACAACAACATTCAGACTTCAGATGAAAAAGTGAATGGGAATAACTTAGACCCAAATTAGTCCCTATGCCAAAAATGAAAACCAAGATAAATATTACAAAAAATTTCCCTAGAGACATAGTAAAAAGATACCAAAAGCAGTCACCTCCTTTCTCCTGGCACAGCCAGGGGCAGACTGTGACAATGCACAGAAAGTTAGGCAGAGGCCTTTTCATTCATAGGTATCTGAATGAGAATGCTGTACAAGCAAAAGAGTGGGAAAAGCAAAAAAACCTTCATAGCTAGTGAATAAAATTGTGAAGAGACTAGGGGAAAAAACCCACAAAAATCTTTATATTACACAATGAGTCTTACTAAAAATAATTAAAAAAATTGTGCATGACTATAAAATACTAAATACAGGGAATTTTAACAAATCTTACTTCCAAATTGTCAATGCAAAATCAACTTACATTTTTGGTTTTATAACAGCCACTTACCCTGGCTAAAATTAATAAAATCTGACTTTTTTTGTTTGGTTTTTGAGACAGAGTCTAGCTCTGTTGCCTGGGCTAGAGTGTCATGGCCTCAGCCTAGCTCATAGCAACCCCAAACTCCTGGGCTCAAGCAATCCTCCTGCCTAAGCCTTACGAGTACCTGGGACTACACGCGTGCCACCATGCCCAAATACTTTTTGTATTTTTTTAGTAAAGAAATACAGGGTCTCGCTTTCCGTAGGCTGGTTTCAAACACCTGACCTCAAGCAATCCTCCCACCTCAGCTTCTCAGAGTGGTAGGATTAGAGGAGTGAGACACTGTGCCTGGCCTAAAATCTCTGACTTTTAAGTCTCATAATTTTGAACTAGGGAAAATGATTAAGAACTCTGTACTGGGGTGGTGCCTGTGGCGCAGTGAGTGGGGTGTTGGCCCCATATATCGAGGGTGGTGAGTTTGAACCCAGCCCCAGCCAAACTGCAACAACAACAAAAATAAAAAAATAAACTTAAAAAAAAAAAAGAGCTCTGTACTGTATGTCACAAAGATTAATTCTAGACTTGAAACTTGATTTCATATATTAAGAGTTTCAATGGTATACCTTACTGAAAACAATATGAAACCAACAACCTGATTTCTTGACTGAAATACTTAAAAATTATTTCCTGTCTCATTTCCAGCATTCAACGACTGCAAGAAAACAAACAAACAAACAAACAAACAAAAAATGCAAACAATCTCATGAAAACACAGGACTCACACATTCCAAGTAATATTTCCCTATATCATGTCCCTAATATCTAGCTTTCAGATGCAAATCAGTCTTATTAGTTTCTGAGATTTTGACCATACTTCAAAAAGTAATTTCAAGAACTATCACAATCATGCTTTAAAGAATCACACATTTTTCTACTAACAAACTTGGAATGAATAGAATATTATGGAAGGACTCTGTTCTTGATTTAATAGTCCATGGTGGCTAGTTTTATCATTATGAATAATTACATATTTTCCAAATCCAGACATTTAACTTATTCTAAGTATAAGAGTTGGATTTACCTCATTATACAAAAATAACGTGATTTAACTTTTCTTAGGGTGAGAATGGTAACATTTGAGTTTAGGATTAGATGTTGGAGGTAAGTATCCATACCTCAAAATCAAAAAAACGAAAATTCCAAGATTGAGATTTTAAAAGACCAAAAAGATTGCATTTTAAAACAGTTACCCTAAAAGTCTGAACATTTTTTTCAGTTTGTTTTTAAAATGGTGGTCATAAATTAAAAAATAAAAACTACATAACAGCACTATGTGTCTATTATCACATTTAGAAAACTGCACCATTTAAAATCTGTGGAAAATGAAAAAGTGTTTCAACAAGAGGGTTTTTGTTTTAATAGTCATCTATAGTATTCTCAAAGAACACGTTTCGAACATCCAGAATGGATGCTAATTCCAAAATGTGCTTCTGGAGATGAGGATTCTCTACTGTTTCATCCCTTGGCAGTTGTGGATATGATTCTGGATAATTTCGTGTTTCCTGGTAGGCAAAAAAGAGAAAAGTTAAGTTTTATACTCTAATGAGAGAAAATTTTATACAACATGAGCAAAGCATTAAGGAGTAACCTAATATATATATTTTTTCCTTTATATTTGTGTGATTCTTTTCTTTCTTTTTTCTTTTTTTTAGCGATAAGAGAGATGACATCTTGCTATGTTGCCCAGGGTGGCCTAGAGCTCCTTGCCTCAAGTAATCCTCCTACCACCTCAGCCTCTCGAAGCTCTAGGATTACAGGTGTGAGTCACTGGACCCAGCCTATATTGATATTATTCTTATCATTAACATATTTGTTGAATACTGAATTATGACATTTCACCATTCTGACTTCTAGAAATGATAATTTCACATGGTTCAATTCATTTAGTGAGTTATTTCACAAATGGTACTGAGGCCTATTATTGCTAGGTATTATGCTCTGTCTCATGTGGAAAGTATAAAAATTCATGCTTACTAGGGGGGAAATCCTTGCACGTAGAAAATGCCAACAATTATCTGTTAAATGAATGAATAACTGTTGTATTAGAAAGACACAGGAAGCATTAAAAAGGACAAGTTAATGAACCTGGCAATTAACTCTAGGAGGGGAAGGTATCAAAAATGACAGCAGGATTTCAGGAATACATGATGACTTGAGAGAAGAGTTGTGAGTTACTGAGAGAAAAAAGGAGGTAAAGGATAAGAGAATTTGGGGTGAATATAAGAGTTCACATTTTAGGTCTATTTTATTGAGGTAATAGGGAAATACAGATAGAGCTGTCCCTCAACCAGAATTTGAAAATTTGGAACTGTATCTCAGAAGACAAGTTTGAAGAATGTTATAAATAATGACATAACCTTTAAGGAGATAGTGAAGCCATAAAAATGGGTAAGAATTCTAAGAATATTAGCAAAGACAAAGAAAAAGAGTTAAGAGAGTGCTATAAAAGGTGACAAAAAAAAATCAGGGAAAAAAAAAGAAAGCAAAAGAATAATAAAAGAAAACAAAAAATTGACATGGAAACAAAAGGAGACAAGAATCAAGAATCAAGTAATTCTCATCTGGAAATTCTTCTTCATTTGTTACATACAAACTACAATTTTGCCTGGTTTTAAAAATATCCTGAAGAAATAAGTTGTTGCTTCTCTATGTACTTCACATGACAGTTCATATATTCAAATGTCACTTGTATCTCTCTATACCTGTGGGGCTTACTCATTACATATTACAAAAATGAAATTTTTATTTTACCACATTAAATAGTAAGGGAAGTGACAAAAATTATAAAATGTTCAAAGCCCGCTGGCTCCATATACTAAGGGTGGCAGGTTCGAACGCAGCCCTGGTCAAACTGCAACAACAAAAAAATAGCCAGGCTATTTGGCAGGTGCCTGTAGTCCCAGCTACTCAGGAGGCAAGAGAATCGCCTAAGCCCAGGAGTTGGAGGTTGCTTGAGCTGTGACGCCATGGCACTACTGAGGGTGATAAAGTGAGACTATCTTTAAAAATAATAAATAAATAAATAAATATTCAAAGCCCTAAAAAAATAAAAAAACAAGAAATACTGAAAGACTATAAGCTACAGGAAATATTTGAACTCTGATCAAGTATCCTCCAGAGTAGATAATATTTGTTGAAATGGAGGATATATTGTTCATGATTCCAGAACAATCATGCCTGTTAGTATTAGGCCTAAGTAAGTCTAGGTGACTCTAAATCCACCCCTAAAAAGCTTAAAAGGTGACTCTAAATCCACCCCTAAAAAGCTTAAAAGTAAGCCATGAAAGACAAGAGAGACTTGCAATTAATTTAATTACTGAATAGAACAAAATTTAAAACAAAGTCCAATACACTTCAAAAATTTCAGATTAATATAATGGCACATATGATATTACCCTTATATTATATCCAATATGAAGGTACAAAGTCTGATACTTTTTAACAAAAACTACAAAATACAGAATATCGCATCATAAAATACACAGTGTCAACACTGTAATAGAAAATTGGTAGTAGCCAGGTGTGGTGATGCCTGCCTATAGTCAGATATTAGGGAGGATGTGGCAAGGACTGATTGAGGCCAACCTGGGCAACAAAGCAAGACCCCATCTCTAAAAATTAGTAAAGATACAAAGAACCAGGAATAAAAAACTTGTAACCAGTTGAAAAAATAATATAAATAGATCTAGAAATGATAGAAAATATAGGATTAACAGATAAGGAATTTTGCTATTATACATGTATATGTTCAAAAACACAAAGGAAAACATAAATATAATAAGGAGAGAAATGGAAAAAGTACTAACTAGAACATTTAGAGATGAAAAAATTGTGATGCCTGCTATTCTATATAGTGCTGGAAGTTCTAGCCAATACAATTAGGTAAGAGAAGGAAATAAAGGGCATCCAAATGAGAGCAGAGGAGATCAAACTCTCCCTCTTTGCTGATGATATGATCTCATACTTAGAGAACCCTAAAGACTCAATCATAAGACTCCTGGAAGTCATCAAAAATACAGTAATGTCTCAGGATATAAAATCAATGTCCACCAGTCAGTAGCCTTTGTATATGCCAATAATAGCTATGGATACTGGTGTGGATGTGGAGAGAAAGGAGCACTTTTACACTGCTGGTGGAACTGCAAACTAATACAACTTTTTTGGAAGGAAGTATGGAGAACCCTCAAAGAACTCAAGCTAGACCTCCCATTTGATCCTGCAATCCTATTACTAGGCATCTACCCAGAAGGAAAAAAATCCTTTTATCATAAGGACACTTGCACTAGACTGTTTATTGCAGCTCAATTTACAATCACCAAAATGTGGAAACAGCCTAAATGCCCACCAACCCAAGAATGGATTAACAAGCTGTGGTGTATGTACACCATGGAATACTATTCAGCCATTAAAAAAGATGGAGACTTTACATCCTTTATATTAACCTGGATGGAAGTGGAATACATTATTCTTAGTAAAGCATCACAAGAATGGAGAAGCATGAATCCTATGTATTTAATTTTGTTATGAGGACAATTAATGACCTAGTACACAGTGAGAGGTGAGGGAAGAGGAGAGCAGAGAGAGAAGGAAGGAGGGGAGTGGGGGAAAGGAAGAGCAGAGAGGGAAGGAGGAAGGTGGGTGGGGTCTTGCTATGTGACACACATCTTGGGGGCAAGACACAATTATAAGAGGCACTTTATCTAACAAATGCAATCAGTGTAACCTGGTTTCTTGTACCTTCAATGAATCTCCAACAATAAAAAAAAATTATGAATCCTGAAATAAAAAATTAACTCGATAAGATTAATATGGACACTGCAGAAGAAAAGATTAGTGAACTTAAAGACACAGCAATAGAAACTAAATTGAAACCCAAAAAGAAAAAAAGACTTAAAAAAACAAGCACATTGCCAGGCATGGTGGCTTAAGCCTGTAATCCCAGCACTATGGGAAGGCTGAGGTGGGAGGATAGCATGAGCTCAGGAGTTCGAAGCTTGTCTAAGAGAGAGTGAGACCCCTGATTCATGAAAAATATAGAAAAACTCAGCTGGGCACCTTGGTGAGTGCCTGTAATACCAATGGCTTTGGTGGTTGAGGCAGCAGCATGCCCACAGCCCAAGTCTGAAGTTGCAGTGAGCTATGACACTATTGCACTCAGCCCAGGGCATAGAGTAGAACTCTGTCTTGGCAGAAAAAAAAAAGTACATTGATAATTTTTGGAATAATATAAAGTTGTGTAATGTATGTAATTGATGTCCAAAAAGAGAAGACAAAAGAAGAAAAAAAATATTTAAAGAAATAATGGCGGCTCGGCGCCTGTGGC